ACATTGTTTTATGACCCTACTTGCTCTCACTATACTGTGACAGCACACTCTTCCTTTCCACACCGGATTTCCCATGTCCATTTAAATAGCTCCTGACCCTCTCTGCCTTCTCATGTCACCTCTGAACAGGAGCTGCCCATTTAGTCTCATGCATCTACTTGAGCTAAGAAGCACACTTTTCAAGCGTAGTCAATGTCACTGAACTGTGCCTGTAGAAATTTTTGAAATGGTGTATCTTTGGCTATGTGTATTTTCACCAAAAAAAAAAAAAGGGTTAAGAAGTTAGAGGGTTAATATGCTGTGGGGTTGTTGACCAATGTCATAAAACAACATGTGTACTACTGTTTCATGAGAAACTATTTGTTCTGCAAGCCCTCACCTGAAGTACAATAAAATGTAAAAAAAAATTCTTGTGATAATGGACCATGGCTACCAAGGCCTCCACCAGACTGAGTCCAGTATAGTTCGATGGTGCCTGGCTACCACCACTGACTGCTCTGACCGGGATCACAACAGAGGGTCCTGGACAGAGCTGGAAAAGGATGTAGAACAAAATTCTAACACACAAAAAAGACCAGATTTATTGGCCTGACAGAGGCTGGAGAAACCCCGAGAGTATGGCCCCTGGATACCCTTTTAGCTCAATGGTGAAGTCACTCCCATGGTTCACCGTTCAGCCAGGGATTGGACGGCCCCATAAAACAAAACAGGACTAATGAGGCACAGCAGTCCAGAGACAAGAACTAGAAGGCAGGAGGGGACAGGAAGGCTGTTGATAGGGAGCCCAAGTTTGAGAAAGGACAGTGTTGACGTGTTATGGGGTTGTTAATCATTGTCATAGGGCAATATGTGTACTAACTGTTTAATGAGAAACTATTTGCTCTGCAAACCTTCATCTAAAGTACAAAAAAAAAAAAAAAGGAATTATCTATGGGAGATCAAATTGACAACAGCAACTCAAAAGGTTTGATGGGAAGCCTAGGGGGCAGTGAGTTGAAGATAATGGTGATGGAAAAATTTGGAAAAGGAGAGTGAGAATAGCAGCATAACTGGAAGAATGTAATCGATGTCACTGAACTGTACATGTAGAAATTTTTGAAATGGTGTATCTTTGGCTATGTGTATTTTCACCAAACAAGAAAAAAGGTCCTCCAAGGCTGAGAAGGGAGAGTGTTGACATGTCGTGCGGTTGTTAACCAATGTCATAAAACAATATGTGTACTGACTGTGTAATGAGAAACTATTTGTTCTGTAAACCTTCACCTAAAGTACAATACAAAAAATTAAAGAAAAAAAAAAAAAAGAAGCAGCACACTCTTCACGAGTATCATTTTATGTCCCATAGTCCAGTCTAATCTTCGTCTGAAGAGTTGGCCTCAGGAATGGTTTTAGTTTGGGGCTAACAGAGAGTGCGGAGGTCATGTCTTCCAGGGTCCCTCCAGTCTCAATCAAACCAGTAAGTGTCTTTTTACTAGAATTCGAGTTCTGCACCCCACTTCTCCTGCTCCGTCAGGGACTCTCTGTTGTGTTCCCTGTCAGGGTGGTCATTGGTGGTAGCTGAACACCCTCTAGTTCTTCTGGTCTCAGGCTGATGCAGTCTCTGGTTTATGTGCCCCTTTCTGTCTCTTGGGCTAATACTTTCCTTGTGTCCATGATGTTCTTCAGTCTCCTTTACTCCAGGTGGTTAGGACCAATTGATGCATCTCAGATGGCCGCTCACTAGCTTTTTAAGACCCCAGATGCCATTCACCAAAGTGGGATGCAGAACATTTTCTTAACAAACTTTGTTATGCCAATTGACCTATATGTCCCCTGAAAGCATGGTCCCCAGATCACTGCCCCGGCTACTCTATCCCTCAGTGTTTGGTTGTATTCAGGAAACTTCTTAGCTTTGGTTTAGTCCAGTTGTGCTGACTTCCCCTGTAGTGTGTACTGTCCTTCCCTTCACCTAAGATAATTCTTATCTACTTTCTAGTTAGTGAATACCCCTCTCCCTCCCTACCTACCCTCATAACCATCAAAGAAAGTTTTCTTCTGTGTTTAAACCTTTTCTTGTGGTCTTATAATAGTGGTCTTATACAATATTTGTCCTTCTATGATTGACTAAATTCACTGAGCATAATACCTTCCAGATTCCTCCACGTTATATAAGACGTTTCACAGCTTCATCGTTGTTCTTTATCGTTGTGTAGTAGTTCATTGTGTGAATATACCATAGTTTGTTTATCCATTCATCTGCTGATGGGCACCTACGTTGTTTCCATCTTTTTGCCATCGTGAACAGTGCTGCAATGAATATGGGTATGCATGTATCTATTCATGTGACGGCTCTTATTTCTCCAGGATATATTCCAAGGAGCAGCGTTGCTGGATCGTATGGTACTTCTATTTCTAGCTTTTTAAAGAAATGCCAAATCGATTTCCAAAGTGACTGTAGCATTTTACATTCAAACCAACAGTTTACAAGTGTTCCAGTATGGCCACAACCTCTCTCAATATTTATTATTTTGTGTTTTTTCTATTAATGCTAGCCTTGTTGGGGTGCGATGGTATTTCACTGTAGTTTTGATTTGCATTTCTCTAATGGCTAATAATCGTGAGCATTTCGTCATGTGTCTGTTAGTCACCTGAATGTCATCTTTGGCAAAGTGCCTGTGCATATCCTTTACCCATTTTTAATTGGGTTGTTTGTCTTTTTGTTGTTGAGGTTTTGCAGTATCTTGTAGATTTTAGAGATTAGATGCTGATCGGATTTGTCATAGCCTAAAATTTTTACCCAGTCTATAGATTGTCTTTTGACTCTTTGGGCGAAGTCTTTTGATGAGCATTAAGTGTTTGATTTTTAGGAGCTCCCAGAAATCTAGTTTCTCTTCTGGTGTGTGTGCATTGTTAGTAATGTTTTGTATTGTGTTTATACCATGTATTAGGGCTCCTAGCATTGTCCCTATTTTTTCTTCCATGATCTTTATCGTTATCGATTTTATATTTAGGTCTTTGATCCATTTTGAGTTCGTTTTTGTGTATGGTGTGAGGTATGGGTCTTGTTTCAGTTTTTGCCAGCACCATTTGTTAAAGAGACTGTCTTTTCCCCCAATTAAGACTTTGGGCTTTTGTCAAATATCAGCTGCTCACAGGTGGATGAATTTACGCTGGGATTCTCAATTCTGTTCCATTGGTCTATGTATCTGTTGTTGTACCAGTACCAAGCTGTTTTGACTACTGTGGCAGTATAACAGGTTCTAAATCGGGTAGTGTGAGGCCTCCCACTTTACTCTTCCTCTTGTTCAGGGCCTCTTCCCTTTCCATATGAAGTTGGTGATTTGTTTCTCCACCTCATTAAAAAATGCCATTGGAATTTGGATCGGGATTGCATTGTATCTGTAGATTGCTTTGGGTAGAATTGACATTTTCACAATGTTGAGTCTTCCTACCCATGAGCAAGGTATGTTTTTCCACTTAGGCAGGTCTCTTTTGGTTTTTTGCAGTAATGTCTTGTAGTTTTCTTTGTATAGGTCTTTTATGTCTCTGGTTAGATTTATTCCTAACTATTTTATCTTCTTGGGGGCTACTGTAAATTGTACTGATTTGGTGATTTCTCTTCAAAGTTCTCTTTGTTGGTGTAAAGGAATCCAATTGAATTTTGTATGTTTATCTTGTATCCTGAAACTTTGCTGAAATCTTCTATTAGTTCCAGTGGTTTTCTTGTGGATTCTTTGGGGTTTTCTGTGTATAAGATCATATAATCTGCAAACAGAGATACTTTTACTTCTTCCTTACCATTCTGGATGCCCTTTATTTCTTTTTCTAGCCTAATTGGTCTGGCTAGAATCTCCAGCACAATGTTGAATAAATTCGAGTGGTGATAAAGGGCATCCTTGTCTGGTTCCCGCTCACAAGGGGATGCTTTCAAACTCTCTCCATTTAGGATGATGTTGGCTGTCGGCTTTGTATAAATACCCTTAATTATGTAGAAGAATTTCCCTTCTATTTGTATTTTGCGGAGAGTTTTTATCATGAATGGCTTAACTTTGTCAGATGCCTTTTCTGCATCGATTGATAAGATCATGTGATTCTTGTCTTTTGTTTTATTTATGTGATGGATTACATTGATTGTTTTTCTAATGTTGAACCATCCCTGCATACCTGGTATAAATCTCACTTCATCATGGTGAATTATTTTTTTTGATATGTTGCTGAACTCTCTGGGCTAGAATTTTGTTGAGGATATTTGTGTCAATGTTCATAAGGGATATTGGTCTGTAATTTTCTTTTTTTGTGGTGTCTTTACCTGGTTTTGGTATCAGGGTTATGCTGGCTTCCTAGAATGAGTTTGGGAGTATTCCATCCTTTTCTATGTGGAGCTAATTTTTTATAACTACATGGACAGTACACATGGTTAATCTGTTAACTCTCTCAGAACCCAGAGAATGGCCCCACTGTGCAATTCTCCTGGGCTATACATATGTATTAGGACTAAAGTTTACATTGATACCTCTAGTGTGTTAACAATTCTTCAAAAGCATTTAATATACACCAATTTTTTCAGTTAAGATTGCTCTCTCCAGGGAAACAAAAACTACATTGGGAACCCAATTTGCCTGGAATAGACATAACACATTGAGTTAAAAGCTATATTCATTTTCCCTTGAAAAGAAAAACTGGTGAAAGGAATGGAAGATTTTAAGGCTCCTCATTAATATAACTGTCGTCAAATTGTACTTACTCCAGAAAGTCTGAACTTGCACATATGTGTGTGGATATTAATAGTTATTAATAAGTTACACAGATTTAGTTGACCTTTCTGTATCTATTAGTAAAGCTGTGTTGTGGGATTGGGTTTGGTCATTCCAGGGCTAGTCAACAGGCCAAAAGTTTCACGCCCACTTCTTGCATTTTAATGCAGCTGGATCCTTAAACATATGACCTTTCATTCTTTGTAATTACAGAGACAAGCAGGTTACCAAATTCCATCAGCTTTGTACCACCTACTGACTACTCACCACAACTTTATTGAAGTCTTGGATTGCAAAATACAGGGCAATAGCAGTCAGTGCATCAGCCATCTGTCAAGAGAAAGATAAATAATAAGAAATAGAACTCAATTAGTATAGGAGTAGTGGAATGGTGCCAGGGCCTGGAGGTTTTGGATGGCTGTGGACTAACCAGTACTGAACTCTTACAAAGTAAGGCAGAACCTATACCCTTTACCACATGCCCCATCTTTGACTATCCAAACATAAGGCCCTGGCACAGTTCTGACTGGAAAACCCTAGTGATTAGAACCTTAGTTATCCAGTGCTGCTGTAACAGAAATACCACAAGTGGATGGCTTCAAAAAGAGAAATTTATTTTCTCACAGTCTAGTAGGCTAGAAGTCCAAATTCAGGGCATCAGCTCCAGGGGAAGGTTTTCTCTCTCTGTCGGCTCTGGAAGAAGGTCCTTCTCATCAATCTTCCCCTGGACTAAGAACTTCTTTATGCAGGAACCCGGGTCCAAAGGACACGCTCTGCTCCCAGCGCTGCTTTCTGGGTGATATGAGGTCGCCTACTCTCTGCTCGCTTCCCTTTCCTTAGGCCACACCCCAGAAAAACTCCCTTTACATTGACTGGATCAGGATATGACCTGAGCAAGGGTATTACATCCCACCCTAATCCTCATCAACACAATCCAGTCTTGCCTCATTAACCTCAGGGAGAGATGAGGATTTACAACATACAGGGAAATTATATCAATCACAAAATGGAGGACAACCACACAATACTGGGAATCATGGCCCAGCCAGTTTGATAACATATTTTTGGGGGATACAATTCAATTCATGACAGGACCCATCTAGGCCCACTTTATTTTGGTCTCCCACATCCGCTCTGGAATTGCAAGTTACTTAAGTTTTCTGTGAAATGAGAATAAAACTCAATGCTTTGCAGACTTGATGTAGGTCAAGTGCCTAGCACATATTAAGTCATTATAATTTTTAAGGAAAACCTGTGGGCCTCCTTCATATTTCTTGACACAGATTTCCAACCCTAGATTAGGCAAGTGTTTCAAATTATTATGCCTCTCAAAATACAGCCCTGTTGTCTCAGCTGAAGGTTCTTGCCCCTGAAAGTCTCATTAGGTCTATGTTCTCTTCCATAATGACTCACAGAATCTCTTGGTGGAATGCTTAGGAAATTCAGGATTCTCTTCACACTAGCACCACTAATAAAGCCAATCATGAAGTCTTGGAGCTAGAAAATCCAAGACTACATAGTCCAGAACCCAAATACTAAAAAGAATAAGGAAATGGAACTGGCTAGTTGTCAAAGATTATTCCTCACACTTCCGTAACACTGTCAAAGTTTCAGGAATTCAAATCAAAGGCATAAGAAACAGGAAGACAAATAACTATAAAATTAAAAATAGGTATATATAGATTTTATAAGGAAGGTTACTTACCATAAATACCAATTCAGCATAGTCAATCAGGAAATGAAAGAGGTATACTATTAATGGAGTCTATAAGAGAAAAACAAACAAAAATATATTAAGTTAAACATGACTATCAGTTTCCAGAAGAGGGGGTAGAAAAAAACTATTCTGTCAGCAAAAATTGCTTTCTTTTCTAGAATAGTGTTCTATGCTAGTTGGTCAGATGATTTTATGCGATTGGCACTATTTGCTGAATTGAGTAAAGGGAATAAACAAAATCTGACTTGTGTTAAATATCTGTCAAGGAACCGTTAACACACTAAAGGTAGGAGGTGAACTTTAGTTCTAAGACATATGTAATGGTCACAGGAAACTCTGTAACGTGACCAAGATTGTTGAACAAAAGAATTGGGAAATGGTTTCCCTTCTTCTGCTCTCTAAGGAGTTCGTAAGATGAGTGTTATTTCTTCCTTAAAGATTTGGGAAATTTCACTGAGATGCCTTCTGGACTAGGGTTTTCTGAGAGAAGATTTTTCATTACAGAGTCAATTTCATTCACAGATAAAGCACTATTCAGATTTGCTATTTTTCCTTTGTCAGTTTAGGTAAATTGTGTTTTTATAGGAATTTGTCCATTTTATCTAAATTTTCAAATTTATTGGCATAAAGTTGTTCATAATATCTTATTTTTTAGTGTCTGCAGGATCTGTAGTGATGTTCATTTTTTCATTTCTGATACTGGTAATTTGTACTACTCTTTCTTATCTTACCAAAAATTTCTCAATTGTATCAGTCTTTTCAAAGAACCAACTTTGGGCTTTGCTGATTTTCTCTATTATACTTTTGATTTCTATTTCATTAATTTCTGAACTTTACTGTATTCTTCAACATTTTCTGCTTTCAATTGCTTTTTCTTTTTTAATGATGCCTACATCATTGATTTTCAGGCTTTCTTCTTTTCTAATATATTCATTTAATGTAATAAACTCCTCTATGAGTACAGCTTTAGTTGCAGCACAGTTTTAATAGGTTGTTTTCTTATTATCATTCAGTTCAAAGTATATTCTAATTTGCACTGAGATTTTGTCTTTAACTGATGGACTACTTAAAAATGCACAATGTTTAATTTCCAAATATTTATGGGTTTTCTATTTATATTTTTATAATTGGTTTCTAGCTTAATTCCACTATGATCAGAGAAAATACTCGGTATGATTTCAATCATTTAAAATGTGTTGTGACTTGCTTTATTGGTCCATCATATGACCAATCTGGTGAATGTTTCATGTATACTTGAAAAGAGTGTGCACACTAATGTTTACGGATGCAGCATTCTATATATGGCATTTATATTAATTTTCTTAATGATTTGTCTACTTTTTCTATATTCTTACTGAGTTTTTGGGTCTATTTGTTTTATTAGTAACTGAGTGAGGTCTGTTAAAAAATCTACTATGAGATACATGAGACTAAATAGGCAGCTCCTGTCCAGAGGTAAGATGAGAAGGCAAAAAGGGACAGGAGCTGGCTGAACGGACACGGGAAATCTGGGATGGAAAGAAGGAGTGTGCTGTCACATTATTGGGAGAGTGGCTAGGGTCACATAGCAATGTGTGTATAAATTTTTGTATGAGAAACTGACATGAACTGTAAACTTTCACTTAAAGCACAATTAAAAAAAAAAAAAAAAACTCCCACTATGACTGTGGATTTGTCTATTTCTCCTTTTAGGTATATCAATTTTACCTCTACATATTTTGAAGCCATGTTGTTGTTAGGTGCTGTCGAGTCAGTTCCAACTCATAGCAACAGAATGAAACACTGCCCGGTTCTGCACCATCCTCATAATCGTTGCTATGTTTGAGCCCATTGTTGCAGCCACTATGTCAATCCACCTTTTTTTTTTTTGTACTTTAGGTGAAAGTTGGAGCCCTGGTGGCACAGTAGTTAAGAGTTTGGCTGCTAATCAAAAGGTAGGCAGTTCGAATCCACCAGTTGCTCCTTGGAAACCCTATGGGGCAATTCTACTCTTTACTATAGGGTTGCTATGAGTCGGAATCAACTCGACAGCAATGGGTTTTTTGGCTTAGGTGAAAGTTTACAGAGCAAATTAGTTTCTCATTCAAGTTTATACATAAATTGTTTCGTGACATTGGTTGTAATCCCACAGTGTGTCAGCACTCTCCTCCTTTCCCTTTCCACCCCGGGTTCCTCAGTTCCATTTGTCCAGTTTTCTTGCCTCTCCCTACCTTCTTGTCTTTGTTTTGGGGCAGGTGTTTCCTGTTTGTTCTCATATACTTGATAGAGCTAAGACGCACGTTCCTCATGTGTGTTACTGTTTGTTTTATAGGCCTGCCTAATCTTGGGCTGTAAAGTGAACTTCGGGAGTGGCTTCAATTCTGAGTTAGAAGGGTGTCCGGGGGCCACAGTCTCGGGGGTTCCTCCAGTCTCTGTTAGACCAGTAAGTCTGGTCTTTTTTGTGAATTTAATCTTTTGTTCTACATTCTTCCCCCGCTCTGTCCAGGACCCTCTGTTGTAATCCCAGTCAGAACGGTTGGCAGTAGTAGCCAGGCACCATCTAGTTCTTCTGTGGTTCATTAGTCCTTTGGACTAATTGCTCCCTTGAGTCTTTAGTTTTTTTCACTCTCCTCTGTTTCAGACTAGAAGAAACTGACAGCTGTATCTCAGATCGCTGCACGCAAGCTTTTTAGACCCCAGATGCTGCTCACCAAAGTAGGACATAGAACATTGTCTTTAAGAACTATATTGTGCTGATTGACATAGATGTCCCCCAAGTCTATGGTCCTTTATCTTTGAGCCTGGGAACTACATTCTATGAAGTGTTTAGTTATGTCTAAGAAGTTTTCCTGATTGTGCCATTTGTGTGCTCTACTGTGGATATTAATATATGAGGAGCACCTATAGTCATTTATTTAGAAATTTCCATGACTGCCCTGACAGGAAACACAACAGACAGTCCCTGGTGGAGCAAGAGAAAGGTGGGGTGCAGAACTCAAATTCCAGTAAGAAGACCAGACTTACTGATCTGAATGAGACTAGAGGAACCCGGGAAAGCATGGCCCCTGGATTTTCTATCAGCCCAGAACTAAAACAATTCCCAAGGCCAACTCTTCAGACAGGGATTGGACTGGATTGTGGGACATAAAGTGATACTCGTGAGGAGGGTGCCTCTTAGCTCAAGTAGATACAAGAGACTAAATGGGAAGCTTCTGTCCGGAAGTGAGATGGGAAGGCAGAGAGGGTTAGGAGCTGGTTGAATGGACATGGGGAATCAGGGGTAGAAAGGAGGAGTGCGCTGTCACAGTATGGGGAGAGCAATTAGGGTCACATAACAATGTATGTATTAATTTTTGTATGGGAGACTAACTTGAAATGTAAACTTCATTTAAACTACAATAAACAAATTAACAAAAAGAAATTTCCACCACGGAACCTGTATCTGCCGGTGGGTGTGCTGCCTTATCCCCTCCCTCACCTCTTGGCATATCTATGTATGTATTCATTCATAGATTATTGTTTGTTGTCACTCCATCTCTTTAAGGGTCTTCCTCTTTTTCACTGACCCTCTACTTTACCAAGCATGGTATCCTTCTGCAGGGACTGGTCCCTCCTGATAACATGTTCAAAGTTTGTGAGACGAAGTCTTACCATCCTTGCTTCTGAGGAGCATTCTGGCTGTACTTCTTCCAAGACAGATTTATTCGTTCTTCTGGTAGTCCACGGTATATTCAATATTCTTCGCCAACACCATAATTCAAATGCATCAGTTCTTCTTCAGTCCTCCTTAGCTTTCACATGCATGTGAGGCAACTGAAAACACCATGGCTTGGGTCAGGTGCACCTTAGTCCTCAAGGTGACGTGTTTGCTTTTTAACACTTTAAAGAGGTCCTTTTCAGCAGATTTGCCCAATACAATACGTTGTTTGATTTCCTGACTGTTGCTTCCATGGGCATTGAGGTGCAATGGATTACTTTTATATGGTCTTACTCACCATAGTCTTGTAACTCTCACCAAATGACTGGGTGGGACTATGCAAATGAGGTGCTTGTGGCCCACCAAGGGGACTGGATAGCTTACTAATAATACAAGTAAGGCGCATGGCAACCTTGTGGGGGTGGGAACATGCAAATAAGGTGTATAGAACCCTAATGAGGAGATTGGTTAGTTCTGTCATCTGTTAGGCTTAAAATGAGCCATCCCAGAGGTGGAAAGGGGTACCTCATAATCACCAAGAAAGAAAAGCCAGGAATGGAGCGAGTCCTTTGGACCCAGGATCCCTGCACTGAGAACCTCCGAAATTCAGGAGACAGAGAGAGCTGTAACACGGAAGACAGCGGAGACAATCGTGCAAGAGCGAGAAGCAGCAGCAGTAGAGGCAGCAGAACCAGGAGACTGTGCTGTGGCTTCCAGGCCCACTAAGTGAGAAAGCTAAATGCCTTTGGGCAAGAAGCTTCCTGGTGGAGTGGGATGCCTCCAAGCACTTACTGAAAGAGTTAAAAGAGCTTTGTAACACTTGCCCGGGCAGGGCACAGGGACCAGAGAAACGCATGCCTGAGGGCATGGCTGAGAACAGGCTGTACAAACTGAAGAACTGTATTCTGAACATTCCTGAACCTGAATTGTAATTTGTCACTTCCTTAATAAACTCCATAATCAAGAGTATTGTCTGTAGGTTCTGTGTGGCCACTGCAACAAATTATAGAACCCAGTAGAGAAGTAGAGAGTGCTATGGGAGGGATGGTCGGTGTCTAGAATTGGTAAAAAGGTTGGAAGGGTGTCGGCATGTCTGACCTCTGCCTCACAGGAATCAGCCTTGGGCTGTTGATGCTGATAATGATTCTCCTTCTCCCTTGTGAAGTTAGAGGAGGTCAGAAGATGCCCCATCATGCCATTTTCAAAGCTGTTGATTGTAGATACAAGTAAAATGAAATCCTTGGCAACTTCAATATTTTCTCTGTTTATCATGATATTGCTTACTGGTCCAGTTGTGAGGATTTTTGTTTTCTTTATGTTGACTGAAGCTATGTAGTTACATGCATTTATACGTCAAATAACTATATCTTCT